TCGTGCTGCTGGCTGGTCGTGCTGGTGGTCGTGCTGGTGGTCGTGCTGGGCTGGTGGTCGTGCTGGTGGTCGTGCTGGCGGTTGTGCTGGTGGTCGTGCTGGTGGCTGGTCGCGTTGGTGGTTGTGCTGGTGATCGTGCTGGCGGTCGTGTTGGTGGCCGTTCTGGTGGAGGTGCTGGTGATCGTGCTGGTGGTCGTGCTGGTGGTCGTGCTGGTGGTTGTGCTGGTGGTCGTGCTGGTGGCTGGCCGTGCTGGAGGTGCTGGTGGTCGTGTTGGTGGTCGTGCTTGGTCGTGCTGGTGGCTGGCCGTGCTGGAGGTGCTGGTGGCTGGTCGTGCTGGTGGTCGTGCTGGTGGTCGTGCTGGTGGTCGTGCTGGTGCTTGTGCTGGTGGTCGTGCTGGCGGTCGTGTTGGTGGCCGTTCTGGTGGAGGTGCTGGTGGTCGTGCTGGTGATCGTGCTGGTGGTCGTGCTGGTGGTTGTGCTGGTGGTCGTGCTGGTGGCTGGGCGTGCCGGTGCTTGTGCTGGTGGTCGTGCTGGCGGTCGTGTTGGTGGCCGTTCTGGTGGAGGTGCTGGTGGTCGTGCTGGTGGTCGTGCTGGTGGTTCTGCTGGTGGTCGTGCTGGTGGCTGGCCGTGCTGGAGGTGCTGGTGGTCGTGTTGGTGGTCGTGCTGGTGGTCGTGCTCGCGGTCGTGTTGCTGGCCGTTCTGGTGGAGGTGCTGGTGGTCGAGCTGGTGGTCGTGCTGGCCCCTCCCCCTCCCCCCCTGCGCCCCCCTCCCCTTATTCCGACCGACCGTGGGCCACCCCCCCCGCTTCTCCCCTGCGCCCCCTTCCCATTATTCCGACCGACCGTGGGCCACCCCCCCCGCTCCCTCCCTGCGCCCCCCTCCCCTTATTCCGACCGACCGTGGGCCACCCCCTCCGCTCCCCCCTTGCGCCCCCCTCCGCTTATTCCGACCGACCGTGGGCCCCCCCCCGCTCCCCCCTTGCGCCCCCGTCCCCTTCTTCCGCCCGACCGTGGGCCACTCCCCCCGCTCCTCTTCTGCGCCCCTCTCCCCTTATTCTGACCGACCGTGGCCCCCCCACCGCTCCCCCCCTGCGCCCCCGTCCCCTTATTCCGACCGACCGTGGGCCACCCCCCCCGCTCCTCCCCTGCGCCCCCCCTCCCCGTATTCCCGACCGACCGTGGGCCCCCCCCCGCTCCTCCCCTGCGCCCCCGTCCCCTTATTCCGACCGACCGTGGGCCCCCCCCCCGCCTCCTCCCTTGCGCCCCCGTCCCCTTATTCCGACCGACCGTGGGCCACCCCCCCTCCTCCCCTGCGCCCCCCTCCTCTTATTCCGACCGACGTGGGCCCCCCCCCGCTCCCCCCTTTGCTCCCCCCCTCCCCTTATTCCGACCGAACGACCGTGGCCCTCCCCCTCCGCTCCCCCTGCGCCCCCCTCCCCTTATTCCGACCGCCATGGGCCCCCCCCGCTCCCCCCCTGGCGCCCCTTCCCCTAGTCCGACCACCGTGCCCCCCCCCCCCCGCCTCCCCCCCTGCGCCCCCCTCCCCTTATTCCGACCAACCGTGCCCCCCCCCCCCCTCCCCCCCGGCGCCCCCCTCCCCTTATTCCGACCGACCGTGGGCCCTTCCTGCCAACGTGTCGCAGCAATTGCGGCACGCTTCCCGGCGCCTGCCAAGGACTGCCTCCCTCGCGATCCCTGGTTTTCTCCATCTCCCATGGACCCACATCGTCATTGTATGATCCTTGGCACGCGTGCCCCTTGTTTTCAAGCAGAAGTTGAGGAGGAGGAGGAGGAGGAGGAGGAGGAGGAGGAGGAGGAGGGGGGGGAGACCCGAGCCCAAATGACTACGAAGAGCTCGACTGCAACGAGCTCGCGCCGAGACATCTCTCCATGACTGCTCTGCGCTTGCCAAGACCAAAACTCGTTCGGTCCAATGTTGCCGCGGGTGCTCTGTTCTACGCACGGTGCCATGGAGCCTCCGTGGAATGCGACGTTTCTCGACGTCTTCTTTTCCCGTGGTGTCAAAACTTGCTGCATCAGCAAGACTTGTCCCTCGCGGACGAGGTCGGACATCTGCATTGCTGACCAGAGACAAATATGAACATGGGATGCGCAAGATTGCTCTCAAGCATTTGGCTTGAACCCGTCGGAGCGCGCCAGATCCGCCTTCAGCAGCCACGCCGATGACAATGCGTATCGCAATGTGCTTTCGATGAGGCGGACATTGGGCTCAAGTTCCGCGCGCGCGAGATATTTGAACGTTTCCAAACCATTTCTAGAGCGCAAAAATCACTCGCGGCAGCACCAATATTCCTTGAAATTCCACATCCAACTTTGCCAGCCGAGTGAATCGTGGGACCAAAATACATCATAGAATCGTGGGGTCGAATATGCTCCCCGTCTGGGCTGCGTGCTGTCTGCTGGGTGCACACCAGTACGAGTTGGACCGTGACCCAGTGCATCTGCAACCCATACTGTGCGCCGCATTTGACGACGGCAGCCAAATATTCGTCTGGGTGCTTTCCGGGCCTGCTGACGAGAGCGTGTCTTCTGCGCACGAGACGTCCTCCAAGTTGTTCGCCTGCGCCGCTTTCCTTGCGTCCTCGCCGTGCATGGCCCGCGCGTCGGTCATCGGCACCATCACCAGCGTTCCGAACAAGAACGGCGGCAGAGGGCCTACCTGGCTGATGCCTGCACGCTGCCTTCTCTCTGCGGATGCCGCTCCACCGTTGCGAACGTGAAAGGGCTGGTCTTTGCATACGCTCTGAAAAGCCTCCAGCATGCTTTCGCGAAGGCCGAGCCTACTCAGCGAACTCAGCAGCCTGTCTGGTGAAATACTATCGAAACCCTTCTTCCGGTCGAGTGCAAGCAGCATCGCCTCTCCTTCCCGGCTTGAGCAGGCCTGCTCGATTCGGCGCTAATCGATGACCAGACGCTACCCGACGCTAGCGCACCGATACCTGCGTGAATCGGCGATACCCGATGCTGAATCAGCGCTTTCTCATCGATGACCAGACGCTAGCGCACGCTAGTGCACTCTAAAGACGGAATTACGAAGCCATACAAGGCCCCCATGATTTGCTATCGAACTACCCCACATCGCAAGGCTTCCCCCATCGCCTAGCAACGCGAAGAGGGCGGTTCGCGCAAAGCGTACGTGTAAACGTAGTCGCTGGCGCGACGAAGCATGCCAATGTGGTTGCCGACTGGATTTGTCGTCGACGTTAGCACCCGACGGGATGGATGTGGTATGTCGATTTCTGGGACCAGCGTAGCCTCAAAATGGCCTCCAAAGACGACAAAACCGAACCAAGTCGGAGCCGAAAACGCGCCCAAAACTCGTCTTGGGGCCCTTGGGAGGTCTCTTGGGGTCGCTGGGGCTATCTCAGCATCAATTGGCCACAGGATATCAATTTGAAGCCTCCTGTGACCACACCTCATCAGCAACGAAAGGACCCGTAACCCTTTGGGAGGGTACCTAAGTTAGGAGGGCCAGAAATATTAGAGATAGAGGGGGCCTTTTTTCCTGCAGATGCACCAAACCAAAACGCCCAGAACCGTTATCACTGGTGCAAAGACGGGGACATAAGCGAGGCCACGTGTTGACTATCTTATCAAGGTTCGGGGGATCTTTTGTCCTCGATGAACGCCCTTCTCTCTCTCCCTCCCTGAACGACTGGACGATATCGGGCCTCTGTCACCTCCAGGCGTCCACAACCCTCCCTCCCTCCTCCTTCTCCCCTCCTCCTCCTCCTCCACCACCTCCACCACCTCCTCCTACTCCTACTCCTCCTCCTCCTCCT